TAGTTGTTAGAATAAAGTTGTTAAACTTGTAAAGTTGTTAAACAGAGCTGTTCACTTTAACAACAGCTCATGTCACAGACTCCATGTCATTTCTACATACTCTATTTACTGTTTAACTTCATATCACATTAACTTTCTTCTTTCTTTTCAGGGCGCCTTTTACGGAATGACCATTGGCCTGGCAATAGGACTATCCAGGATGATTACAGAGTTGATCTATGGCACAGGGAACTGTGTCAACCCAAGTGACTGTCCCACCATTATATGTGGTGTTCACTACCTATACTTTGGGATTATCCTCTTTGCCGTCTCATGTACGGTCATAGTTGGAGTGTCTCTGATGACCAAACCCATTGATGACATGCATGTAAGTGACAGCTATGAAGAGAGGGCTGACGACGTCTATTTTAGTTCTCAAAAATAGAAATTTAGGCTCTGTTCTATGATTATCACACATTTCTTTCTAAATTGTCAGTAAATTTTGGTATGTTGTGTTTCTTTACTAGTTGCATAGATTGTGTTGGAGCTTGAGAAACAGTACAGAGGAGAGAGTGGCAATTGAAAAAGATGACTGGATTAATTATGAGGAGAATGAAGTGGAAGTAGAAGGTAATAAGCATGTTAATCCATATATGTTTTATTTCAGTAACAGCATATTTTTAGTACTTAAATTAGGAGGGTTTCTGAAGTTTTATTAAAAGTTTTAAAATAGAATCTTCCATGATTTGTAGAATCGAAGGAGGAACCTGACTTCTGTAAGAAAGCACTCGTGTTTTTGCGGACTGGAGCAGAAGAAAGCTGTGAAACTAAGTCCAGAGGAGGAAGCAGAGCTGAAGAAGAAGCTCACTGATACGACAGAGGATCCGTTTTGGCGGAAGGTTGTCAACACAAACGCCGTCATTCTCCTTTGTGTTGCTGTGTTCTTACATGGATACTTTGGTTAGACAAATGGAGAGTCAATTATTTCTGGATAATTTATGAATAACATGTACATAAGTGATGGCCAAAATGCCAGTAAAATGCTATTTTTAAACTTACAACTAAAGGCATCTTCACAACAGGGTGCTCAGTAAGTATGATTATATATTTGGTTCTTCATACCAGGAAGGACAAAGCACAAAAGAAACAAAATAAAAACAAGCTAAATAAAAAGTGTTTCGTAAAACCTTGTATCCAGGAATAAATCAGTACTGTAAGCTTTATTGTAAAACCAAATTAACTTGTCAAAACGATGCGTGAATCCTCTGACGTTATATGTCTGTAGAAAGTTCTAAGTGATTTGTGTCTTGTTGATGTCTCTTAAAAAGGAAAGTAGCTTTGCTACTTTGATGTATTTTTTCAGCTGAAGGTGCAATGTAATTTTGACAATTTCACATGTTAAGGTAGTTATGTTGAGCTGCACTGATTAACTTGGCTTATCAGCAACTTAAAGGGTTATAAACTTACTGGAAATCTATTGATGATGTGCCTCTTTCTTCTTTATCAGAGTTTTCTCAGTGATGTGTTCAAAGGCCAGGAATACATTTATTTGCATTTAAAAGCACGTGTTTGGTGTTTTTGTCCTTTTATTTTCTTATTTTTGGGAAGGGAAAACCTCTGCAGGAGAGTGAAAGGAGAGAAGCTAAATTTCTTTCAACTGTTCTCCATGTTGGTGTTTATTGATTTGTAAACAAAATGTCAAATAAAAATGTTTTTCTGCTTGTGTACTTGGGATTTCTGGTTGAAAGTAATCACGTTAAAGCAAATGTATGTTTTTTTTTTTTTTTTTATGTCGAAAGCTGAAAAGACACTTTTGGAGAGCCTAATCAAACTCCAAGCTTATAACCCAATGGAATAGTACAGTGGCGTAAGAAATATTTTTATGTTAAAAGTCCTCCAATTTGGCTGAATCACAGGAATTTTGCCAACAAGAGAGACACAAAATCCCTCCAGATCAGTGCAAATTACCCACTGACCAAAATCATTTTACTAGTTATGATTCACAAAGTGATTCATTTTTAGGAATTATGATAGCATATTTGCCCAACATACCTGTAATAATTTCATACATAATCTGATACATTTTTAATTTTTATACTTTTTTTGTGTTTGAGATGAAACTACAACAGGAAAATAGATAAACATGGACTGGACGTACTGACCATGTTTGCGGCAGCATGTACTAGAGGCTGAATAGAAATTTGCCAAGTAGAAGGGATACATTTTTTTTTGTAATTATCTTTATTCTTCAAATAATAAAGATGCTCAAGTCTATAAGCTATGATCTTCTACAAGACTATGTTTAACCAAGGTCTTCATACTTTCCAAACCAATGGATTTCATCTTGGGTTTGACCACCAGATGTCACTAGTTGACACTTTTTTGCATCCTTTCAAAGGCTGTTTTTTTAAAGTCCTCATCTGACCACCAACTATACACAAATTTGTCTAAAAATATCTCAAACTACTTTGAATAAGATTTTTTTTAGAAATTAGCTTCTATTTTTTCTTTTTTTTTTTTGCTTTTATGGTGAAGGGCTGTGCTTTACGGCCATCTTTTACTCATACATTTGTATAATCTATGTTCTGAACACAAATATAAGATAAAAGTAAGCCTTACTTCCCAGAAAACATCCTCTGAATAAAAGTAAATGTAGTATTTCTCTTCTAAATTAATTTAATCAGGCAACTTTTAATCTTTATTTAGCAAATTTTATCTCCTACTGAGACAATTTTAAAGTTAAAGAAAATATCCATCCGTAGCTTAAAACTATTTGGGAAAGATGTGAGCCAAATTAATGCAGTCACACATTCATTTATAATGGAAATAAGATTAACGTACGTATTTTTGGACAGTGGAAGGAAGCTGGAATGAACACGGGCATGCACAGGGAGAACATGGAAGCTCAGTTCAAAAACGCCCTAATCAGGATTCAAAGCAGATGTCTTATTTTGTAGATGAGATAGCCTATAGCTAATATTTATAAGAGTTCCACATTCCAGAATTTGCATAAATAACAAACAATCACAATGACAAGTTGAGTTAGGGCAAAGGACAAACACAAAACCATGCTCAAGTTCTTTATTTGTTTAAAAAGCACATTTTTTTCTAGGCTGAGAGAAAGATGAGAGACACAAAAACTTTGGCTCATTCCTTTATTTCTGGGTTCTTCAGGGTTCTCTGATCCTCCCTCCACCTGAAACACTGAATTATTTTCTGCATGGAGTCCCTCTATGTCTGAGGCCAAAGTCACTAAAATCTCTCATAAGAGTTGATCTGAGCAAAGCGCCTAAAAATCTGAAAAATGTGGCATGCATATTTAGTTCGTTCTTAGCAAAATTAAAATCCAGCACAATCTTAAAAAGTCAACTGTGAAATATTTGAGTAGGTTAATAAATCTGGAGTAATTATTTACTGTGACTCCAAATAACAGCTTAAAAAGTTAAATGAGAACCTGAAAAGCAGTTTGAAATGCACTTTAGTTGAAGATTGAACACATCAAGAATAACATATGAAAGAAGTTGATAAGATTATTCTGATATAACCTTTGATTTTTTATAGTTCAGATCATAAAAATTCTTTTAATGACACAATAAAACAACTTTCGAGAAAGAGGGACCAAAACAAGTTTAATAAGAGAGGATGAGATTTAGAAGCTTTTCTCATGAGTTGCAAACACTTCACTTTATAACCATATAATTGGTTGACATGTCTTATTGTCTTTAGCATTGTCTCTAAGGAGATGAGGATCATAATGGCCATTTAATGAACATAATCCACTTTTTTAAAAATGAAAATTTTCTAATTGTAATTATTTAGAAACTGAACAAATAAAAGGGTGATATTAAATTTATTATCATAATACAAAACCAGACAAATATTTGCATTGCTGTTTTACTTTAATTAAAAGTATTAAAAGTCTCAATACATTTAATGAAAAAAAAAAAAAACAGCAATATAAATGAAATATTTAGTATCCCATTATGCTTATTGGCTGGAAGGGTTTTCTCTTTCTTTTTCTTTTTGGATCTTAGCTATCTCTTATTTTCTACAAGCTAATTATTAACACACAGATAAAAACAAATGATTATCAAGAACATTTAATGTTCATACTATGGGTTGAAGGTGAGACTAGGTGCTATTTGTTATATACTTCCACAATAAAATCTACAATCTTTTTTGGCAGAGCCTAGCGGTTTCAGGGAGTAATAAATATTTTATATAACTAAGAATTTTTTAGTTATGGACAAAATCTTTCTTTGAACCATAAATAAGAGTTTTGAAATATTTTTATTTCAATGTAATAGTTTGTCTTTGGCACATTTCTTCATTCACCTTTCTATACAGATGCCAAATTGTTACAGTGGGTCAGTGAATTATGTCAATAGTGTAATCATGTACAACTTTATATATTGAGTTGGATCACCTGAAGATTCCTTTCATAAATTTTCTGGAGAATTTTATGATGTGAAAAAAACTTACACAATCAGCTAAAAATTACAAAAAGACTGTCTCCACACTCAGCACTGTAAGAAATCATGTAATCATAAAGAAATTAAATGGAGTGAAAAATTATACATCTGCATCTGTCTGAGTAGAAAGTTACAAGATTTGTAGAGTGAATGCCTATGAATCACTACTTCATGCTCCTTTTTGGTTGTTTTACACAGAAAAGTTAAAGTTAACGTTAACTAAACTTATACTGTATATATGTTTTATGTTAAAGAATGACAGCAGTGATTTAATGAGAAACAGAATGAGGAAAAACTAAAAACTAAAAATGAGATTGTTGCAGGAACTACAGTGGCTTTTCCTTCCTTGAAGATTGATGATTAACCTTATCATTTCCAAAAGGTTTAAACATTTTGCCGCATTAATATTTATAACAAAACACCCCGAAAATAAAGCTTGTTTTCACCTTTCCACCTTTCTCTCTTCCTCAACGTACACTATTAACCAGCCCTCTCTCCTCCCTCTTTCTATCCCACACACAAACAGAAGATATAAAGCAAAGTGTTGAGAGTGCGCTCCAGTCGTAGTGGACTCATTGCTGCAGCCTTCCAAAAGGGCGAGGACAAATTCAAGCTTAACGAGGCTTTTGACGAGACGAAGGCTGACGACCGGAAGACGAGTCTGGTTGTTTGTTTTCAAATCGAGTTTGAAAACAAACCCTGGTCGTTTCCAAACAGAGTGGAATTTTGAAAACAAACTTCCACTCTTCCACTCTGAGCAAAATGGCTTGGGATTATTTTGGATTTTTCCGCTCCGCAGAAAACCAGAAGAGTCCATCTTCCACCACCAGCATCAAAAATGCAGCTGACATCTCTGTTATTATCATCTACTTTCTGGTTGTCTTGGCTGTGGGAGTTATTGTAAGTGTTGCAAGCTGTCAACTTGTTGAAAGTCTGTTTGTATAATTTATTTACAATTGTGTAGCTTTGAGTTGTAAATTACTTAGGCAAATTGCTACAAAAATGTAATGCTTTTGTTGTTGTTGCTGCTGCTTTAGGTAAACCAGATTAAACTATGTTTTTTGCACAATAATGAATCATAAAGGAGTGTCATGACTGAGTTGTATACTATTCCTGGTGTTCTGTGCTGCTCAGTGTGTAGAGCACTAACATAGAGCTAAAATATATAATAAGCTTGTTTTGCAAAGTTTTATGTATTTCTTTGTCCTGTTGCAGGCTATGGTCCGGACCAATCGATCCACTGTGGGTGGCTTTTTCCTTGCAGGGAGGAGCATGGTGTGGTGGCCTGTGAGTGTCTGAAAACAAATAAGAAACAATTTTTTTGTTCTTTTGCTATTTTTTGTAACAGCCTTGAGAACTAGTACTTAGTTTCCATCACAGTTGTGATGGAAAAGAGGTACAATTTTTTGAAAAAGTACACTCTCCTTAACAGGGGTGACATGTTGGTCACATACAAGTTAGACTGAATTGAATGGCTGAGAAGCAGCAAAAATCCAGGTTTTTGTTTTTGTTCAAAATGTGCTAGAAACTGTTGAAATGAAGCTTAATCTGTGGCTTCACAGCCCCCAGCATCGTAAATACAAATTGAGGCCTTTAATAGAAAAATTAGCCAGAAAAAATAATAAAAAAGGAAAACTATATATATATATATATATATATATATATATATATAAAACACAAACAGTTACAGAAGCTTTGCTTGTTAGAACAGGTTTGCAGGAGAAAGCTGAAGACTGAAAACCAGGTTTGCAAAGTGGTAAGAAGAGAGAAACCATGAGACTTTTGTGAAAATGGAGAGATGAAACCAAACCTTTCCTAATGTTTGACAAAGACATCAGAAAAAAAATACATTCCTCCAAACATAACAAAATTAAACAAAGCTGTAAATGAGGTGGGTCTGTCGATCTTATCTGCTCCTGAGTTAACTTTTAACGTCATAAGAAAGTCAATAATCTCCCATCTATAAGACATAATAAGGTGAAGTTATTTATTGTCACAGTTTAGAGGAGTTGAATGTCTTACAACATAATCAAAAAGTTAATTGTATTCAATAATCAAATTTAAAAACTTACTGCATACTGTATATATTTATTAATGCATAGGGTTCATTATGATGATTTTTGATTCAAGTAACCTATATCCCCCACAAAATAAGAAAGAAAAATCACCAATAAGAAATGGTGTGGCCAAGTTAAGGCCTACACAATCTTATGGAGGATTGCTGATTTGACAGTTGTCAAGCACAATATCAGTGAGGAAAGTTACATCTTAAGATTGACTTAAGATGCTTAAGTCAATCTTAAGCATTGACTTAAGCATTGAAAAAGTCAATGCTTAAGAAGCTGAGTATTCACAGAGGGCTGTTTCCAAACAGGTCAATAGAAAATTGACTGGAAGGAAAAAGTGAGATAGAAAAAAGTTTTTCTGCAACTGTAAAATCCACAACAACAAGACTGACAAGCAGAGCCCTTTCAATCTTTTTTTTTTTTTGTTGTTGTTGAGATTCATAAGATGTGGGCTGTGGTCAGAGTTAGAGTCTCAAGAGCTTCCACACGTCCAGGGCATTAACCACAGCTTTTGCATTCCTTGCATTAAGCCTGTCCTGAATGAGAAGTCATATTATCTTGTGTGGGCCTTAAAGACAGAAAATGCTCCAAATATCAGCAGAGCAAATCATCTTGTATGTATTGATTGTATGGGGATTGTTTCATTGTAATGAAACATTTTTTTCTTACAGATCGGAGCTTCACTCTTTGCTAGCAACATTGGCAGTGGCCACTTTGTAGGGATTGCTGGTACTGCTGCAGCTTCTGGAATTGCCATTGGTGGATTTGAGTGGAATGTGAGTATTTGTGGTCTGTTTTCCAAATAGGAAATTCAAAATCTCATGATGCAAAAAAAGAAAAAAACTGAAAAGTAAAAATCCGTTTTATGTTTCATATTTTCAACAATTTGCCATGTTTTGTTTGTTCCAGGCTCTTATTGTTGTCGTCATTCTGGGATGGATCTTTGTACCAATCTACATCAAAGCTGGGGTAAACATAATGTGTATTTTCTGCAGAAAAGTGCACCCATTACAGTCATTATGCCTTGATAAAGCAAAATATCATCAAATTTGTCTAGGTGGTCACCATGCCTGAGTACCTGAAGAAGAGATTCGGAGGACAGCGCATCCGTATTTATCTTTCTGTGCTCTCCCTCTTCCTCTACATTTTCACAAAGATTTCTGTATGTTCTTTCTTTCTTTCTAACCTTTGAAACTTTCAACAATGCATTAAACAAATTAAAGTAAAAGATCCTTTCTGTCTTCTCCCAGGCCGACATGTTTTCTGGAGCCATTTTCATCCAGCAGGCTCTTGGACTGAACATCTACGTTGCTGTTATCGCTCTACTGGCAATTACTGCGCTGTACACCATCACAGGTGCATCCACAGGAAGAAATTCACTTCCTTTTTGGAGATCAACATTTTCCTCATAAACCTAGCCTACAAAAAAGTCTTATCTATGTAAATGACACCCTAAGTGAGGGTAAAGTCTTCTCAAAGCTGAATGTCCTGGGGTAGATCAAAAACACATATAAAAAGAAAACTCCTCCTTTCCTGGCTTGTACATATGTGGTGTGTTTGTGGTTAATTGACCATGGACTATGATAAGCCTCACATTGCCCTCTAATAGTTGCTGCTCTGCAACAATCCAAACACCTTCACATAACTTTTACAAGACAAGTGGGAAAAGAACACTTACGTAAAAACAAGATAATCCTATTCGCTCTAGTGCACATATTACTGTCTACACTTCTGAATAATAAATGTTACAGATTGCTAACGCCATGTTTCATCTCAGGTGGACTGGCTGCAGTGATATATACAGACACCTTGCAGACCATCATTATGGTTATTGGATCCTTCATTCTCATGGGTTTTGGTAATGAGCAATGATTCTTTTTTTTTTTTTTTCGTCTTGCACTATTGATTTGTTTTATTGTGACATCATTAAGAAATGGGAGAGTGAGCCTTAGTCTAACCATCTCTCCCTGTCTATCCTCAGCCTTCAATAAAGTGGGGGGCTATGAAAATTTCGAGAGTAGCTACATGACCGCAGTTCCCAAAAACATCTCTAATATCAGCGCAGAGTGCTACGAGCCTCGGTCAGACGCCTTCCATATTTTCAGAGATCCAATAACAGGAGACCTGCCTTGGCCTGGCCTGGTATTTGGACTCACCATCCAGGCCACCTGGTACTGGTGCACTGATCAGGTCAGTGAAAATACAATCAGTACCTTTAACTGTGTGGATGCTTCATTTCCACTGACTCAGTAACATGTTTTACTGCATACCAGAAACAATCTCAGGCCATAAACTCATCCAGTTGATTTTTACATAACCATATGCGCATTCGCGCTCTTTTATCTCGCCTGTTTTGGACAGAATCACTGAGGCGGTCTAAGGTTGCCAGCTGATAGTGAAGAGCCATGTCATATAACAGCCCTTTGGAGTAAAAGGGTGATCCATGAGTTGAATTGCAATTACTTTACAAATATTTTACTAACCTCCTGAGATTTCTTAAACCTATAGTTGCCTGGACACAAATTCTTCAGTTCACAAATAAATACTGGCATCCTTTTTTTTTCTTTCTTTTTTTTTACTTTAACACCAACAATACATGTAATACAGACCAAGTTTGACCCATTTTCAAACGCATAAAGTACTTATGCGTTTCTCTGTTGGTTAGCTTTTATTGAAATAATGTTAGTCATAGTGAATGATGTTTATGTTCTGTTGCTATGTAATGTGCACGACAAGCTATGCTAAATGAGTAGGTAAATGGACATACTGTATGATCTAAAGAGTGTCAATAGTCACATCTGCCATGTTGTTTTTTTTAACAAAAGATAAGAAATGTCCAGTGCATGTAATAGTCGTTACCCTAATATTACTATGAGTCATGCTTCTAATTAGCTTTTGTTTTCCAACATTGCCATTTATTAATTTATGGCTCAGTTCAAATGATTCATCTCAAAAGCTCCATTTGCCTTAAATTGAAATCATCAATATGTTTGTGCTTTGAGTTGCATGCACAGAAATAGTGACTCATTTACAGGCACATTCAGCACAACCAATTTCTAAAGTAATTTTTTGAAATTACTTTAGAGTTTTCTGAGTGAGGAACTTTAAATTACATAAAGCAACAGCAGCTCTGCTAAAAAAAAAACATCCTAACATTTTTCTTGATATAGTAGAAGCATTAAATATTTAACACCTTCATCTGCCTTTGAATGCTCCATCTTTTTATGCAGGTGATTGTCCAGCGTTGCCTCTCTGCCAAGAATCTCTCTCATGTGAAAGCAGGTTGCCTTTTGTGTGGTTACCTGAAGCTGCTCCCCATGTTTCTCATGGTTTTTCCTGGGATGATAAGCAGAATCTTGTATCCTGGTGCGTGTTTTGATGTTTTCAAGTTCTGTTATCTTGAGGGCAAAACTTGGTGTAAGACAATAAAGTGTAAACAATTTCTTGAAACATTCAGATGTGGTGGCGTGTGTGATCCCGGAAGAATGTCAGAAGTATTGTGGAGCGAGCGTTGGATGCAGCAACATTGCTTATCCCAAACTGGTTGTGGATATTATGCCAAATGGTGAGTGGATCAACAACATTGTCTTTGAATTTGAAATTTGAATCAACACTTTTGTTTCTTTATGTTTTCCTTCACCTTTGTCTATCTCTCTTCAGGTCTGAGGGGTTTGATGCTGGCAGTGATGTTGGCCTCTCTAATGAGCTCCCTCACTTCAATATTTAACAGTGCTAGTACTCTCTTCACCATGGACATTTATACTAAGGTCCGTCGTCATGCCAAAGAGAGGGAACTGATGATTGCTGGCAGGTAAAACCGTTTTGGATTGATTTTAATATGATTATTGTTTGTTTGCTTGACTTTACCCATGAATCTTTGTCTATTCTACCTTTCAGGGTGTTCATTGTGATTCTTATTGGAATAAGCATTGCCTGGATCCCTGTGGTGCAGTCAGCCCAGAGTGGTCAGCTCTTTGACTACATCCAGTCAATCACCAGCTACCTCACTCCACCTGTGGCCGCTGTCTTCATGCTCGGCATGTTCTGTAAACGAATTACTGAAAGTGTGAGTTTCCTTTTAGTTTACGGTTGCTGTTATAGTTGCAACATAAATGTGTCTTTAGTAGCATAAACAGCAAATGCGGGGGCCATCAGAGGCAGACAGACCTGAACTGAGGATATTGCCATGTGATAGAAAAAGCACTTTATTGATCCCTTTAATTTAGTCATCTGCACAAAAAAGGCAGTCTTTTGAGACTGCCTTTCAGTCTCAAAAGGCAGTCTTGAGACTTGGACAAGAACAGTCAGTCACCATGACTGAGGTTGTTAAAAAGCTTCTTATTCGAAAGGCTCTGCACATTGTGGACCTGCAGTGGTTGAAATGCCTGTTTAATGCTGTGAGAAGAATTGTAGTTGTGGTGAAACAGACCTGGGTAGTGGTTCTTGTCTTTAAGAGAGAAAACCAATGAATCACTCTTTTTAGCCTCCTCATATAGAACAAGGAAAAAAAATGGTCATTTTCTTTGCAAAGTAGCCATCAGGTGAAGAACTATAGGCCCTCTGGGTTTGTTATTTACTGAGCTTTAAGGCTGTGGATCCACACCAGGCATCCAGACGTAACTATTCCCTGATGAAACTTAACACAAATATACTTTGTGGATAGTGTAATTTATGAGCACACACCTCTGGAAAAAGTATTTTTAGTTTCTGTCACATCAACCAAAGATGATGTAACATTGGGAAGGTTATGATGAAGGAGGATTTTTGTTATCTTTTGACAGAATAAGATAATTTACCTGTTTTAGCTTCTGTGTCAAGCCAAATTTATTGCTGCAGCATGCCATTCCCAGATATCAGAGTTGTATTGATTTAAGCTAGACGTCACTGGGTGGATTATTGTTTTAATACTATTAAAACACTATTAATGCTTCTTCCCTTCTTTCTTTCTTCCCTTCTTTTTCTCTTCTTTTTACAGGGTGCCTTTTACGGACTCACAATTGGGCTAGCAATAGGATTATCCAGGATGATTACAGAGTTTATCTACGGGACAGGGAGCTGTGTTAACCCGAGTAACTGTCCTGCCATCATCTGTGGAGTGCACTACCTCTACTTTGGGATGATCCTGTTTGCCATCTCTTGCATCCTCATGTATGGAATCTCCCTAATGACCAAGCCCATCGATGATAAGCATGTACGTGACAGTTTTGTGATAAGAGTAGCTTAATCTATAACTTTCCAAATCTGTAATTGCTCACAGGAAGACTATCCACTGTGAACCTCATTCAGCAGAAAGGAAATATGAACTTTCTGCACAAACTTTTTTATTTTTAAATTTCTGCTGATGATTAATTATATCCAAATTCTTGTTAAAGTTACAGGTACTTTCAGATGTTAAAGAAATAAAATAAAATCTTAGTATGCAGTTTTTGAGTGAAGTTTAAGATGGTGACAAAGTTAGCAGCTGACTATTCTGTTCTTTGAATACTTTTTTTGTTGTAATTTATAGTGTCTCCTTCAGCTTCAAGCTTGACTTTATTGCACCAATCAGAAAAACAAAATGCATTTGGAGAAGAATTCATGTTCATATCAATTTGAGCAATCTCCAGTTGCTAAAACACACTTCACTTACTTTGTTGACTTTATTCACTTACGGCTGCAGTATGTAACTTTTATAGAAGTACGTTTTTTATATTTGTTAAAATAGTCACCATGTTGTGACAGTAAAATATGAGACAGGCAATCTGTGAAAAGATCAAACTCCATTTGTAATTTCTCTGACTGGAAGAGAAATTAACCTCTTCCAGTCAGAAACAACCAAAGAGGAGGGGCTAAGCACTGTCAGTCATCCTCACGTACCTGGTGCGCAATGTGCAACAGCTTCCTGTTTTATGAAAACCATTGATCTGCCATCTTTGATGGCCATGCTAACTAGCCCGAGCATTCATGCAGTCTCTGTTGTGGTGAACCAGCTGTAGTGCATCACAGAGAAAGGGGAAGTGTGTTAGGGGCGGGTACACAAGGTGATTGACAGCATTAAGACCCTCCTCTTGGCTCTAAGAAGTTCCTTCTGACAGAGCAGAGCATTTGTTCAGATTTGTTCAGGTCCTTAGGGAGAAGAAAGAGGAACTCAATCTTTTTTCAGATATTATGTGTCTCATACAATCATCACTGTCACAACATAGTGATAGTTTTAACAAATATGTAAAAAAAATAACAAAAAACGAACATCCGTCTACCCATTGAACATGTAATTGATAAACATATTATTCAATATGTCTGTCCTTGTGGGGTCATGAGGGGTGCTGCTGCCTAACTTTTGCGGTCAACAGGCAAGAATAAAAATCATACTGTTTTGTAAAAGTCACATCCTGCTGTTTCAAAAAGCAGGATGTGTTTAAGCATGTATGATTTAAGCGTATATGATTTGTGCTGCAACAGTTGGACATTTTTCTGAGCTCTGAAAAGTTTTTCTCACATAATATGTTGTGTTATTTTCCTAGCTGTACCGATTGTGCTGGAGTCTGAGGAACAATACAGAAGAAAGAGTGGACATTGATCCAGATGACTGGATTGAGGATCAGGACGAAGACGATGGGAGTAAAATGGATCTAGAAGGTATGCAGAACACATGTAGTTTACACTTCTTAAGATTGAAGTTGCTTTAAAAATAGCTGCATTTTTTTTTGCATTACTTTATTTTGATACAAAAATCTCTCTGCCTTTATTTCAGAACCTGAGGAAAAACCAAATTTCTTCAAGAAAGCTCTAATGTGCTTCTGCGGACTGGAAGAGAGCAAAAAAGCACCAAAACTTACTCCAGAGGAGGAAGCAGAACTGAAGAGGCAGCTAACAGATACAACAGAGAAGCCTCTCTGGAGGAACATTGTCAATGTAAATGCTGTCATCCTCCTGGGTGTCGCAGTGTTTTTTCACGCATACTTTGGTTAGTCAAACCCCATAAACATTAAATGGTCCCTGGATACTGTAATTTATTTTTGCTTGGATTTAAATGATAACAAAACCATTGACACTGATCCCGTTAATGTTTTCATTCTTCCAACTGATCTCACATATTTTTATAAAAGCACCTTCCTTTTCAGGAAAACTTTTTCCTGGTATTTGTCACCTGGAGTGAACCAGTAAATGATGTTGTAACATATTAACACATCAAACTTGTTAGGATGTCCAAATTCTCACATATTTGTTTTTTTCGATATCATCTTATTGTATTTGTACATATCTTTGTTGTGGTGGAAAGAGAGCAGTTCTGTAATTGAGAACAGCTTATCTATGTCGCATCAAACTGGCTTCTTTTTATTTTCCCATAGAGTTAGAAAATGTATTTTTCTGCACACGTTAGACGATAATTCGTTTTATCTGCAGTTCCTTGTCTTTTGTGACTGAAAACATAAACTCCTTTTAATTTTCTTAAGTTTACAGAAAATTGCTGTTTATATCACCAGATGCTACATTAAGTCATTGTAAAAGAGGGACAACATGACAAAAACCATTTACCTGGAAGAAGTTAGTAATATTTAACCAGTCCAGGACAAACAAGATGATTACAAATTCCCTCAGAATGTATGTGTGCTACCTCATTCATCGACTTCTGCTGGGTTTTCTTATAATGTGTGCTCAAAGTCCACAAGTACTGTCACTTCTAACTTCCATAAACCTCACAGTGTGTGTTGTTTTAGGTGTTAATGAGTAAAGCTATCTCAGGGAGATAGAGTTAGGAATTATTGGAAAGCAGTCAGACACTCTCTTTGCTTCCACCTAGTGGTGTAAAATGATTTGTAAGTAAATAAAATGTAAAGTAGATTTTCACCGTTGTTTGTTTTGGACACTTAATTTTTTTTCTAACTGTCAAACCACAAGTGCTTTTATTCACCAAAGAAACATAAATACTGAGTTGCCTCCTTTTAATTGCCTAAATGATGTTTTATGGTTCTTAAAATATCATTTACTGCATTATCTTTTTTTTTTTGTTTTGTTTTTTTAGCTAACTCTGTACATTTATTCAATGCAACCAGCATGCTGTTATCAAATGATTTATTATTATTGCCTTGACATTGGTCACCTTCTTCCATAAGATTTCCTCAATCAACACCTCCTGATCCAGGAACTGTTAATGACTCCACAACTGATAAGACTATCAATAAGATTGTGTTATCCAAGAATTAGCAAGTCAAAGGTTGGTAATTACTACTTATCGGACAGGACTTTTTTTTTTTTTTTTTTTTTTTTTACCAATAAATCAAATGGTATTTATCAGCTCAACAGATTTTCTAAATATAACTAATGAAGCCATAAAGAGACCAAGGTTACATTTTAATTTTGCTTAGCCTTGGAAATGTTGAGCTTCCTCCTCACAAAGCACCCCTTCCCTACACAGCTCCACCAGACTAGCAGCAGCAGGAATCAGCAAACATTCAGCTTATGGTTATAAACAACATAACAGAAAGGCATTGCTGTGTTTGCAGAATGATTTGAAGGCAGTGTTGGAAAGAGAAGTAGCTTCTTCAAGAAACAAGGGGCCAATTTCTAGGTGTCATATTATGAAGTCAAATCACTTTTAAGTCATGTTTTAACATTTGCAGCATTTTTATAACAATTTATGGTGACCTAGTTTCTTGAAATACATAATATTGTTCCTTTAAAATAATAAAAAACTCTCAGCACACAACATTTCTGAGCATGTACATATGTTCCAAAATAGTGTGACAGAGACTCAGAAATTATCTTTAAATGTATTTTTACTAATCTGTATTACAGATCCTGCAATGCATTTTCTGCAAGTATCAACCTCAATTTTTACGTAAATTAGAGAACTCTTGACTTAATGCAATATCTTCTCAAACACCAGTCGTTTGATTATCATCCACTAAAATAAGAGGCATTGTGTAATATGGAGAAAAAGCCGACAATAAAACAATGAATGACAGACTGGTTTTTCAGGAGCAGGTATGACAAAGAGATGAAGTCGATAAAAATGGTGACTTGAACGAACAAACTGAATGACATCGCTTCAAAGCTCAGGGTAAGTATGAATCTAAGAATCTTATTTAATGTCACTTTTTTAGTATAGTTACATTGCCAGAGGCTAAAAGAAATATAGTAATAAAAAGTTTTTATCAATTCAGCAATTAACCATTTGACTTATTTATGCAGTTTCAGAGGAAGAAGATTTAAAACTTGACAGGAACCTTTTTGTGTCCCGCAACGCTTTTGTGTGCTGTCAGGAAGTTAAGAAACACTTGTTCAACAGGAATCCAAACTACTTAGTCACTTTTCTTAATTTGTAACCACTGTACAGAGAAAATAGATTGCACTCTCAAAATGGTAAAGGTGAGCTTCAAAAAGTATTCTTGACAACAGGTAAAACTCTGCTTTTATTATGGCTAACTAAATTAATTAACCAGGAATGTCTTGTTTTCTGGAACTCAATCGTAAAAGAACAAATACATATTTTCTTTGTTTTCCTGTGAGAAAAATGTTGTCACACCTGCATAATTTGCAGCCAGTCTTGTAGCCTGTAATATGTCTGTTTTTATATTTAGCACATTTGATGAATATGAAGCATTTTCTAGACTTTAAAACATTTATAAAAATTAAAACACATCCATAAATGTGCAGGGACATTTAGTTAAAATGTTCACAGTTGTTTATAAAATGCCACAGGCTATGCTACAGTACAGTGAACGCCTGAATGAAGCTACTGTAAAAATGTTGATAAATAGCCCAGAGCAATTAAAGGTTTACATTATACGTACAGAATTGCATGACAAAGAGAACTGACACACCAGCACCTCCTACTGGTAACTAAATCTCACTACAGGGCATCCATATTGCCCTCTCTGTAATATCCATCCACTGATCAGCATTATTCAGCATCATTTTGTTCCAGTTCAGGAGCTATTCTTAAACTTCTGAGGCCATCACAGATTATATGTTCAGGCACATCAAGATAACAAAACTATTATCAGCTGAGTTGATTTGAAGACATAAATAATTTTGCTGTGTAAGAATAATTACAAATAAAACCACATTTCCTGCTGTTACACCCAACACTACGCTCCTAGACAGGATTAGCTTTAACTTTGCTGCCATCTTGATTGTAGTCACCACAAAGCAACTATGTAGGTGTCGTGGGTGTACACATATTTGTATTTGTGCAAAACATCTGGTACTTTTCTGTCAGTCTGATTTTCACAGAAACAAACTTCTTGGTTGAATAAAAAAATACTTCTAAACCTAATTCTTTCTGGCTGAAGAATGATATTTTTGGCCCAATTTCATGTGGTAAAAAAGCTGGTGCGAATGTGTCTTTACAGACAATTAAAAGAGTCCTGAAACAATGTGGGGTGAAACTCCAGATTATCCAAAAAACTAATATAGAAAGCCAGATTACACTTTACAAACGCACTCAGCACTAATGTCCTTAATTCTGGACACATATTTAGTGGCCTAATGACACAAAATTTGATGTTATACTTGAGGTAGTATTGGTGTAACTCATGTAATTTAGGAAGTTAAAGCTTTGGCTGAATTTGGTCTGTCAAATGCGCAATGTAAAGGAATGTCCATCAGAAAGCCCTGACAACAGCAATTTATCCAAGCAGGATCAATATATCCTACAACTACAACTGAGAGTAAAATTCCTCCCACAAAACATTTAATGATCAAGTAAAGTGTTGCAACCATGAGTCTGTCAAAAAGTTGTTTTTGTGGTATTGCTTTCCTGTTTCTCTGTAACTATTGCCCAACACTGATACAGGAGACATGCTGTATTTGATGTGGTTGTTCTGATAATAATAAGAACAACCACATTTCTAAAAACAGAAAAAAGGGTTGAGGTTAGGGATAGTTCTCACTAAAAATCATTTGAGAGCCCTTCTGCATGCTACAGCAATGATGGGTGTGTGCTGTGTCCCTTCCCCCATAACATCTGAGCAACTTATAGAACCAATTCATTGTACTGACTGCTGAAACTCTGAACTGATGTTCAGTTTTCCAGTCGCTCATGAAATTATGCAACCGATGTTCACATATTTTAATTCTGGTGCGTTTTTTATTACGCTTTGATCTCGGGATTATTTGTTTTGTCGGTGTTAAAGCTTCTTGAGCGGATACAAAACGTAACAAAATCCTCGTTATGCAACATCCCCGCATGTTTGGATCTGCGAGAAGAGCTTAGGGTGCTGGTTTGAGGTTTTTGAGAAATTTTGTTTCATGTTTTGGGAAGGATAAATGCTGTATGTGATGGAGATGCTGGGTCTGTTTTCCAATCTGTCCAGTCTGATACAAACCCCGTTTGGTGGTAAGCTTGTGTGTCTCCTATCTGAAGCTCTCCACGTGCCTGGCTGGTGCTGCTTTACCATATGCCAGCATATAAAGTATGATTCATTGCTTTTGTTTTCTTTTTGCATCTCAGAAAGGGTTTGTGTGTGTGTGTGTGTGTGTGTGTATGCATTTGTGTATTTAGATGGGGGTGGGTAGTACCATCCTGATTGGCTGAAGTATTTTCTCTGGCAACGAGCAAACGTGATCCCGCCTGCAGAGGCACTGCAGTGAGTGCTGCAGTGAGAAAAAGAGAGAGGCAGGCAGGAGGGGGCAGGCAGGCAGGCAGAATAAACTACATGAATAAGGACTGAGCCAGAAGCACAGAGGAGACAGAGCGCTATGTGTGTGTCTGTGTGTGTGTGCGCATGTATGCATTTGTGAGAACACTGCGCATGTGTGACTGAGCGGACTGTGCAGGAGAAAGAGCAGTAATGAACGGCAGCTGAGGGATGACAGCAGGGGAGAGAGAGAAGGAGAAGACAGAGGCTCACCTGAAGACGAGAAGAAGGAGGCAGTGATAAGAAAGGAGGACATAGTGGGGCGACAATTGAGAGTTAGAAGAAGCTTGGGTCCTAGCTCAAAATAAGATAAATGATGTGTGATTAGAAGCAGACAAACTGGGATGGAGAAAAGGACACGGGAAGAGAGATTTCAGCGCCAACTCCAAGGAAAAAGACTGGAAGAGTGAAGAACGAGACCAAAGAGCCGATGATGCTGAGCTTGATGAAAGCAGACTGATGTGTCCACCTTGCAACAGCTTCCTCCATCTTAACATTTCCTCCATGTTGTTGGTGCTCTGAGAACAGAGACGGACAGGAGAGTGGAAGAAAGCATCCTCACCCAGGCAACAAAGAAGGCAAAGCAGTTTGTCATCCAACACAAACAGCTTGTTGAGGCAGCAAACAACTGGACTATGACAACCACATAAAGCGGACAGGTGAGAATGAGGCAAAGCTTTACATCTCTTTCAATGTGAAGATGAGTACAAACATGGGAAAGAAGGAGGCTTTCTGTGTTCTGTTTTGGTTTGTCATTGCCATGTTTTGTTCAGATGTTTCATCATGTCGATCTGGGACGAAGGCATTATGCTCACGCTGATGTAAAAGTGAAGACAAACCATTCACGCCCACCAAGCCACAGCTTCTTGTCGGCAGAGATGAAAAACCTATCAGACGGAAACGATGACTTGAGATGGCTCATGTGTGAGTGTGGTTGTAGATAGTGGCAAGAGAGTTTCCTATGGGTTTCTGTGACATTTGCCAGATGTCTGCCCAGGCAGATAGAAAGGCTGAGGGGGAAGCAATGGTCTTTTCTGTATTTTTCAGCAGCCACATCTCGATAATGGCCAAGCATCGGCGCTGCAGTGAGAGCGTCCTGTGCACCACGCTGTGATTGCATAACTGCTGCTTCATCTAAACTGCACCCCTCCCATTTGTGCAAAGCCGTGTGCGACAGCAGCTGCTTCGTTGCATGAAGACTCGAGC